GGGAGGGAGGAAGGAAGGGAGGGAGGGAGCCCTGATGTGTCAGAGCCGATAATTCACCCCCTGCACAGCATCAGGCAGGGGAAAAAATCCACGTTTTGCCTTTTTCCCATGATAAAATCCCGCCACTTCCCTTGTTTATTGCTGCTCAAATCCACCCCAGTTGGTTTTGGGGTGACGGGTCTCAACCGCTTTACATCCAAGAGGTTTTCCCATCTTTTCTCCCTTAATTCCCAACCTTTTTAGAGGTTTTTTTGGAACTCCAAAGGGAAACATCCCTTGGCGTTCCCAGTGAAGGAGAGGCCTTTGGGGAAAGGAAACGGCCCCAAAAACAATGGCAGTGGCGTTTCCTCCCGGCGGGACGCAGGGTAGGGGTCCCCGCTCCTGGAGCCGTTTTCCCTCCTTGAAGGTTGTTTTCCATGATAAAACTTAGTGCAAGGATGAGGCACAGGGGTCGCTTGATCCTTAAATTTCTCCAGAATACTCCTTCGCTGTATCCCAGTGGTGTTGATTTGCACGGAGTCGTGGTGGATCTCTGTTCCCATCATCAAAACTGCCCCCATCCCATCCCATCCCTGTCCCCATCTCCATCCTCAGCCCCATTCCCAATCTGTTCCGCAGTCCCAAACCCATCCCATCTCTGTCCTCATCCCTAATACCCTACCCGTTCCATCCTTGTTCCCGTCCCCATCCCCAATCTCATGCCCGTCCCATATCTGTCCCCATCCCCAATCCGTTCCCCATCCCTGTCCCCAATTCCATCCCCACCCATCCCTGTCCCCATCCTCTATCCTGTCCTGAATCCCATCCCTATCTCTGTCCCCAGTCCATTCCCCAATCCCATCCCATCCCTTCCCATCCCACCCCCGGCAGAGGTTAAAGCCCATTTCTATCTATGGCAAAGTCACGTATTAGTGTTGGTATTATTTGATTTAATTATTTATTTTCCCCAAATTTGGCCTCCCTGGAGGATACGGCAATTCCTGCCCCCCCCAACATTCCGCCTCCAGGGTCGTGAGAAAAGCCACCATGGATTTTCCCAACGGACACTGCTCCGCAGCCCGGCATCTCCTATCTCCCAGTTATAAATAGTCGGAGTTAAGGGAAGATGAATAAATCCCCCCCCAAAAGAATGGAAAAGGAGGAGCTGGGTGCCGGGCTGCTCCCTGACCTTTTTTTCTGGGAGTCGTTTTCCCGGCTAGACTCCTGCTGTGGATTTTAAATCCCAAAGCTTGGGCTCTTGGGATTTAATTTGGGTCCCGGTTTCACATGACTCCGGCGCCTTAATCCTATCGAACGGGGTCATCAAACCCCAAGCGCCTCCGGGCTTTAATTCCTAATAGCTTATAGGGTGGTGTGGGGGGGAATTTTTGGGGAATGCTGGGTTTGGGGTGGGAAGGAGCTTTTGGGGGATGATTCCATGATTTTAGATGAGGATTGGGGTGTTTAATA